TATATATATATATATATATAATAAAAGAAAATATTCAGTAACAATATAAGAAAATATTCAGTAACAATATTAGAAGTTCTGATGTGGAAAACCTGTAAAGGGAAAAAATCACGGGGCGTGACCTAGTTGTAAAAATCCACTATAAATTGATGATTACAGAGGCTCATTGTCTCACAGACGGGAAATGATTATTGGTTTTTTCAAGTTATAACTTCGGCTGTCGGTTTCCGACCGGTGATGGTTGGCACTGATTGGTGGTGATCAACAGCAGTCGGCGGGTGTTGACGGCGTTTGGTGGTGGTCGACGACGACAGGGGTGGTGATGGACTGCAGCTCCTTTTCAAATTTTTAAGTTCTCTCTTAAGTTACAAGCCTCCTCTCATGAGAGGGGTGGAGCTTTATTTATAGTGTTTTGGGTGCAATGAATGCAAGAATATGAACTACTTTAATCGGACGGTCCGGAGAGCTTCATTCAATTAGACGGCGTTTGATGAAATTTGAGGCCTTAATGATGCCAGAATTGAGCAATATTAGGCTCGTTGGATTTCTCTTGTCGAGACGCTCGTTTCAACTATATGCTTGCTAGATTGAGCATTCGTTTAACGTTCTAAATATATCCAAAAAACTTTCAAGTATTGTTTAATAACTTGATACGAGCTTGATTTGACTCGGATTGGACTAATTTTGGCAACATTGAGTTCTTCTTGTCGAGTTGGTCGGTTTGACTATATGTTTGCCGAAATCAAAATTCTAAAAAAGTTTTTATCGAGATTTGAATATTTCTTGCTTAAAAATCTGCCTCAGACTTCTAACTTAGATTCAAAATTCACGTCAGAGTGCTCTAAATGCATCAACACTCGTATTAAAATAAATATAGTAATCATACCACGCATAATCGCAAAATATCATCATCTAAATTTTCTCATTTATAACAAAAATTCTTTCCAACTTCAATTTTACCGATCAAACCAAACGAAACGCAAGCCGCAACGTGGTTTGTTTTCGGTATGGATAAGGCTGTTAAACCTGTCCTAACGTGAAGAAATTCTCCCTGCCAACGTAAATGAAATCTAATTTCCCACGCAACCTTTAGGACTATGAACTTTATTAGTGCGGTATATCAATAGCTCTGTATCTGATTTAAGGATTTATATATGTATCACACAATTTATATATATTTGCTTATCTAACATTTAAATTCTGATATTTACACTTACAACACCATGGGGGTCAAAACCATATCCATAAAAGCTGCATTTCATTTTAAAAATGTAGTGATTTTGATATTTTTGATGTGAAATTAAAAAAAATTTAGTGGTATGCATGTAAATTGGAATGTTTAGGTGTTAAAATGTAAATACATAAAAATTGTGTGCTATGTAATTAAATTGCTCTTTTTTTAATTTATCTAATTGAAGAGATATAAATAGCTTTTCTATAATTTGTCATATAAATTAAAATAAGTTAACTACTTGTCAATTTATTTATTTAGGTCCATCGTGCTCTGTTTGACAAGTATTCTTGCTTTAAATTTTTTTAAATACTACTTTACTAATTCTTTGGTTGATTTATTTTATGTATTGTATCAGTTTCTTATATCTTATATTTCAGAATTGACAAATTCTAAGGTCTTTATATGTTCAATTTAGAAATGTTTTCAGTCCCTACACAAAGCTAGTCAGAGAAGAGGTGGAGAAGATGTTAGGGCAGTTGATCAAAGAAAAAGAAAATGAAAAAGAGAGCGGGAATCCTTTTATCTTGGGAAGGACGTTCCTTATTGAAAGACTCATATGTCGCCACTCCATTTGGAAGGCTACATAAATGGTCACACAAAAGACTCTGGTGGCTCGAATTATTATGAAGTATGACGTTTTTTTTTGTGTGGGTGTAGCCAATGTATTTACAAGGATGTGACATATGCTGACAAAAACACATTCCTATTGTTTTGTTGATGCGAATTAGACCTTGTCGAGTTAAGGCAAATTGAAAGTTGGTGAGCTGCTGAGTTGCATTGACTCGTAATTTATTCTAATAGGGTTAAAATATTCTCGCTTCAATCACTTACTTAAGGTGTACTTTATTAGCATGTAGGCCTTATTGATATAAACTATCAATAAAATTATTTAGGAGCTATTAAATTATGAATATTATTAAATGTATAATTTTGATATAAATATTAAACATATATTAAATGTATGGATTAAAATATTTTTTTATTGCTAATTGTACTTGAAAAGTTAAATTAAATAATAAAAAATAGATTAGCCTAATTTTAATTAAATTCTAAAATATCAATTCGCATCAAGCAAAAAAAATGAGTTGGATTCAATTAAAGCTTCTAGGGTCATAAGAACAGCTTGACTGTGCACTTGCTCGATTGGTTCATAATTAAAATTTGTTCATAATTAAGTTAGGCTCAAGTTTTGATGAGAAAACAAATAAACGATTTTGAACAACATTGCACTTGCTCAATTGGTTCTTTTACAACAGTAGAGACACTTTTTCCTATGGCATATACAAATATATAAATTAAGTATTATTGAATGCTGGAAAATTTTTTATGATTGACATTGAAAGTTTTGTCATATCCTAGTTATTGGTTGAGATTGAAATTTATCCCTTAGTTATATAAATTTCTTTCTAAAATCAACAGCTCAATCTCTTACAACTGTAATATTGGTGTCAACCAAGTAATATATCAATTAAAAATATAATTTTAACTGAAGTTTTTCTAACCCTTCAAACTATTGACCCATTGGAAATTTGGCGAATGCTTTAATAGACATCATAGGATATATGATGCTACTGGTCTATGCAATTGGAACATATATGATTATACTATTCATGAAGAAATTCACTGAATGAATGGCCTATGCTATCATGACACAAGCCATGTGATATGCCTCTCCTCGAATAGCGAGATTATTGTTAGTGGATTCACCAGAACACCCAAAGGTTTGTAGGATATATTTTAAACTGATTGTCCAAAGGAAGTTATTCTAAGTCATAATGAAGTTATTCTAAGTCATAATCCCTCAAAAGATAAGAAAAATGCAGCATTCACTCTGTTAACTGCAGTCATTGAACATTTAAAGGAATATCTCATACCGAGAAGTAAGAAAACGCTCGTTTAATAATGTTATATGATGCTAATTCAATACATCGGAAACAAAAATTTATCGAAGGATTAGCGATATGTTTAAAAAAAAATAGGTAAAGAGAAGCCTTCAAAATAACCAACATGTGAGATTCTTTATGAAATTTTTGCATATGGAAATCTTATAAACTTCTATGCTAAAAATGATCTCGAGCTTTGTGTCGTTATTAAACAAAATAATCATCTCAAAAGAGAAAAACCCGCTATAGAAAAAAATTATGTGAAATTTTTGAACAATTTGCTTCAATTGGCCTTCTTCCTTCTCAGGATTGCTCACTCTCAAAAGAAAAAGAGGCTTATTCTTAAGAAAAAAGAAATGGGAGAAGTCCTCTAAACCTATTTCTTCTTTTTCTTAGAATTAACAAAAAAAAAAATAATAAATGTTTTAAGTTTAGAGGTTTAGGTCACTATTCTAATCATTACACTACCAAAAAGAAACAAAAAGAGTTTAAAATTGATAAACCCCTTTGTCAAACTCTTATGAAGCTCCTATTAACTGACTGATAGTCTACCTCATCTGAGAAAATAATTTACGAGTCTTCATCTTTCTCATCAGAAGAAGAAAATCAAAGTTATTCTAGTTGTTGCCAAGGCTTTGACAATTTTAATTATTGCAAGAATATTGTTGAAATATTAGGATTATTTACATTAACAGATTAACAAAAGGAAAAAAAATCATGAAAATTCTTCCACATATTGAGGATATCTCTAGTAAAAGTAAAGTTTTTGACTTTTTTTGAAAAAGAATAAGGATCGTGAAGATATAAGTAATAATTTTGCTATACTCTTTAAAAAATATATATATAAGAAAGTGCTACGAGGAAAAGTAATGTCACCACTAATAATCTTATAGATAAAATTAATTAGTTAAAAATGAGATTAAGATCATTAATAATGGCCAAATAAAATTAATGAAATGAACGAATAATTTTGAATCAAGACAATATGCACGAGAAAACTAGAGCGAAAAATATGTTCTTTTAGTGTAATTTCTTCAATCTATTCGGAAATCTATTATGCATAAGTGTTATATCTCTATTAAACTAATCATTAATAAATAATAAATTTTACCAAAGTTGACAGCACTCGTTGATAGTGGTGTTGATATGATTTTTATTCAAGAATGACTTCTTCTAATATTTTAAAAAAATTTCTCAATGGTTTATCTTTGCTAGTTGTGATTGAATACAGATTAAATATAAGCTTTTGAATGTAGTTATTTGTAAATCAAATATATGCATTCTTACTCCACTTTTAATTGCTAAAAACTTTACTCAACCTATCATATTGGGTAATCTATTCCCACCCTAAATAATGCCCATGTAAGAAATTAATCAATTAGGCATTAATTGCACTATTTTTTTTAAAAAATATTATATTATATTTAATTTTTGATCCTCAATAAATGTTTATTAATGAAATGAATCATATTATAAATAAATGTTTA